AAAAAAAAAAAAAAAAAATCTTCATCCTTGAAAGCTTGCAGTGGGAGACTGCGGGAGTCAGCTTGCAGGTCTACCGCCTCAGAGAGCCTTGTCTCTGGCTCCCTGGGAGGGTCTTGGGAAAGGGGATTGAACACATGCATCCTCTGATTTCATATTATCTTGTCCACCACAGCTCCTGACTATGACCAAAGCCAGTGGCTGAACGAGAAATTCAAGCTGGGCCTGGACTTTCCCAATGTAGGTGCAGAGAAGGGGAGGTTTGGAGAAGGCGATGGTGCCCTTATTTTGCACAGATCAGGAGGTCTGGGATCGGCCCTTCTGCTCTCATGTGCCCACCCCTGCCAACATCATCTTTCTGGGGTGGGCTGTATCCCAGCTCTTCCACTCAGTGTGCGCGTTGTATTCATGGAAAGTTTTCCATGTGAGGCACCTTGAGTGCCAGGCCCCATTTCTGTCCTCACCCAAGGAAGGGATGCTGGGACTTCATATCCCATCTGACCATCCTTGCTTGTCTATCCAGCTGCCATATTTAATTGATGGGTCACACAAGATCACCCAGAGCAACGCCATCCTGCGCTACCTTGCCCGCAAGCACAATCTGTGTGAGTGGGGCCGGCTGCAGGGTGGGGGGTGGTGACCACCCTCCTGGGCTTTGTCTGGTGGGATGCTGAGAGTGAGCCTGAGTGCTGTGTGTGCTGCAGGTGGGGAGACGGAAGAGGAGAGAATTCGTGTGGATATTTTGGAGAATCAACTTATGGACAACCGCATGGTGTTAGCCAGGCTTTGCTATAACCCTGACTTTGTGAGTCCTACTCTGGGCTGGGTGGGGGGGGGGGAACAGAGGTTTGTACTCTTGCCTTCTCATCTGCTCTGTGTGTTTAATATCTAAACTTCTCAGTGCTGCTCACCTAGAAATGGTGTTCTGGACTGCAGTGGAGTCACGTGGCACAGTCTGGAGGATGAGACGGGACTGTTTAAGACCTTCTTGGTTACATAGCATGAGGTTGTCTCAAAATCAAAACTACCAAAACAAAACCAACCCTTCCATGCACACACCACACACACACCCCTGCCCACAGGGTGATCCTCAAACCTCAGAGTCTTGTCAAATGAGACTCCCACTGAGCCTCACTGCCTTTAGCAAACAGAGCAAACCTCCACAGTGAGCATGAGTACCTGGGTGGTCAAGACCGTGTTTAGAATCCCTCAGCTCTCTCCGCCCACTCCTGCCCTGGGTTATGTTTTCCCCTTGGCTTGAGTCATCGCTGCTTTGTACACACGCAAACAAGCAGAAAAAATGGTGCAACCTGGACACCGAAGAGCGTCATCACCTGGGGACTGTTCCCAACTAGATTCCCAGAACCAGGTCCGGGGTGCGCATGGTGATAGGCAGATGTTCCCAGTAGGCAATTCACAGCCAACCAACCCTCACTTGTTTCCTTCCACCCTCTCAAATTCACTTCACCTTTTTTGAAACTGCACTGAAGTCCCGCCCTCCTCCTGTCACTTTACTATGGAGAACATGCCACTTCTTTTCCAGAACGCTTTAGTTGCTCTCTGCCTAACATCTGAGTCCCCAGCCTGCCCACACAGTCCTGAGTGTGACCCACAAGAGTGGTTCTGAACATCGGTGGTGAGTCGCAGGGACAGTGTGCGCCTGTGTGCCTTCTCATGGCCTCTGATATCAGATCTGGTGCCTGTAGGATCTAATCAGTGGTGACATAATAAATGAAAGCCTGGATTAACCCAGGCCCAGCCCTGGGAAGGTGGTTGCACCTCTGTCCAGATGAGGCCTTCACAACCCTATGGCCCAGCCTGTGCCCACAATCTTGTGACTGAGGGTGGTCACGGTGTTTTCTCTTGTAGGAAAAGCTGAAGCCAGGGTACCTGGAGCAACTCCCAGAAATGATGAGGCTTTATTCCGAGTTCCTGGGCAAGCGGCCATGGTTTGCAGGGGACAAGGTAAAGAGAGGGAGGAGGAGGAGCTGCCGTTCTTCCCAGGTCACCAGATTCCAGCGCACTCACTGTCGGCTTCCTGCAGATCACCTGTGTATGTAACCAACCGTGTTATTAAATAAGAAACACAGAAACAATGTAAAAGAGAAAGCCAAGAGGTCAGAGCTCAGAGCTAAAATCTCACCCTTCCGCCTGCTGTCCCAGCTTCGCGAAAAGAGACCTACCTCCTGTCGGTTCG